AAAAAAACAAGAAAATCCCTTTAAGTTAATAGTTATTTACATAATAAATGAGGGAAACTCTTTTGCATAAGTGAGGAAACTGTTAGCTTAGCGAGCTAGCTGAACCACATACCTTCTGATAATAACCCCCTCAAAGACGCTTCGTCTACTCAACCGAAGCAAAGAGACGTGACTTATCTACCCCTTAGTACAGTATTTTACCATACCGCTTCATATACACGTCTACAATAAGTAAATGAATTATAAAACACGAGAAGCTGAACTGTGCTCGCCTATGAGCGGAGCTCTTCTCTGATCTAAGGCGGATTCAGAAACTGAAAGAGGCGTTTGTCGACACCTTCTGTTTGGGATGTGAAACTACAGCGCTCTAAATCTATATGACAATAATATGCCTACATTTTATTGTGCCATATTATTTTAGTACACGATTTTCGTTCGCTACCTGTATCACTAACAGGAACTCATGTTACTATTTACACACGACTAATCCTATTCGATACACCTTTGAACAGTTTCTGTTAATATTCGTATTTGCCTGGCATCAACCAGTCTTAAAAAAAAGATTAATATTTTTCTCTACTTTCTGAAAAATATACAATATATAATATAAAGGCTACATTTACAACCCTATTATTAATGTGAATTGTTTTTAAACTGAGCTTCAAACTGTTTAGACGTGTTCCAAATATCAATAACACAAAATTAATAATAATAACAACAAAAATAAACAGCTCATATAAAATTAGCTTGACCCCCTGAGGTTGGCAAAAATAATTTTCCATAATTTTTTTAATAACCTTTTTTTTTTTTAATGTTTCATCCTATACGTTTCTGACACAAGAAAAATAAATCATGTTTTGGTAAGTCATATGACGGTAAAAGTCGAAATTATGACTTAATATCTCATAATCTCAACTTTTTATTTATAATTATGACTTAGTATTTTATATCTCATTTATATATTTCTATTTCTATCTTATACCTTTTTAATCATATGATTTAGACTTATGTCATACTTATTATAACTTGTGTGTATGTATGTATGTAT